TTCTTTTATTTATTTGGACAATTTGTGTGTTTACTATTGCAATGAAAGTACTAGTGTTTGATTCCTATAGGAGATGTGATTCCTATATTTCAAACAGAAATTTTGTTGACTATGTGATGCCATGGAGTTAAAATTTCAAACAGAAGTACTTAGCCACAAGCAAAAAAAACCCACGCGGGGAATCTCTTAGGTCTCTCTAAGGTCCACAAGCAACCCTAGCACTCTTAGCCATTTTGATGAGTATTACCTGAAAATGAATACTCGAAAACGTCAACATAATGTTGGTGAGCTCGAAGGTTTAAATAACAAAAGAGGATTTGTTGTGTATCGAGAGCGTTTAGGACAACAGTGTGTATACATATATCGCAATTCAGCATTAATACATAGGAATAATTGAATAACCAATTTAATCATACAACAAGAACATGATAGGTTTCCAAACATGTCATCTACCAGCTGGAGCTAAACCGTTGGCTTAATAGGAATATAGGAATCACATCTCATATAGGAATCAAACACTAGTACTTTCATTGCAATAATAAACACACAAATTGTCCAAATAAATAAAAGAAAAGGGTTCAACACAGCTTAAAAACAGTTAAATAGCTTTTGAGTATCATTCCCCCCCCCCCCCCAAAAGAAGTATATAAGTAAAAGGGCCACGAAACTCACCTGTGAGTGGATGGTATTAGGTATGCGAGAGGTCAAGCAAGTAATGTACAATTAAACAAGGGTGTGTGTGAGCTACACATGGCCATGGCTTAAAACCTTACCATTGTAATCTCGTAATCAATGAAATATACATGATCGGCCTGGTATTTCTAAAGGACAATTTTACCAAGCGTCGTAAAACTAAAAGTCAATTAGTTGTGGGTAGTCATCTCGACCTAAGTATCGATGGTTTGCCCAAGCTTTATAAGTTTGGTTTCTTAACCGAAATCTTAGGTTACTTCAAGAATTTTTCCTATACCTTAAATGAATTARATAAGGTTCCAAAATTTAATGGTAGAGACTTCCGAGTCTTAGGTATTTTTCAGAAATTTTCCTTAATTTTAATTAATRTTTTACTAATTTTAAAAAAAAAAACATAAAGTACAAGTCAGTAAATCGTTCTGTTTTGCACAACAGAAAATTATATACAAAATAAAATGCTTAAAGACCTCCAAAAATTCTGAAATTTTTACAGAGACTAATAGACATATTGAACTCAATCCAGAAAAGTTTTACCAAAGAATTCGAAAAAAAAATGAGGGAGTTGTGAGGCACCCAAAACGTCCTAGATTTTGTCCAAAAATTCCAGCTTTGCGACCCTGAACGGTAAAGGCTTTTTGACCAAGTTAATTTTGTTGTTTTGACACGAAACCACTTGGAACAGAAAGTAGACTCATTGAACTTGAACCTAGACCCAAAATTCGTATTTTAACTCCATGTTATGACTGAGATACGGMCTCTCCAAGTCAACACATTTTCTGCCCAGATTCTGGAATGRATCAAGCGACATTGTTTTTACTAAACAACCACACCAAAGACTCTATTATTAGCCAAGACTCATTAAAACTTATTCTTTTATAAAATCTAAATGTTTTTAATCAAAAATATATTCCATCCATTAGAGTTACATTAACAATCRAATGAAAATCATAAARACKATAGAAAGACAAACAAGGTGAAGGTTTTTACCAACTCAACGATTTGTGATGAAGATATCACTTGTAGGCTTCAAGTACCCTTCATGGGTCATTAGAAAAATAGAAGAAAATTAGATTTCTTATGGATTTAGAGAAGAACTTATAGAAGGAAAAAAAACGTTGGACGCTTACCAAAGGCTTCGTTTAGGAATCAAAGGAACTTGTTTCCTGCAAGTTTGAAGAACAAAACTTTGAATAACTTGATGGTAATGATGATTCTTGACCAAGCAAAAGGGAAAAAAAAAGAGAATGTTGTGTTTTGTTTTTCTCAGGAATGAGAGTAATTAGGGTTTAGAAGGAGATAAAGAAGTATTGAAGATTATCAACAACTAACTACTATATTTAAATTTTGAAAAAAAAGGAAAAAGAAAAAAAAAGATGGGATAAACTCCCTTACATTTTCTTCCATGGATAATTATACATAAATATATTATTTAATTTATTTAAAACTACTTGATTTATTTCTTTATATGATAAGCTCTTTTGATAATATTAGCTTCTTTTTTTTATTAGGTTTTTTTTAAACAACTCAACTAGTTAACATTATTAACTCAATTCATTTACTTAAGGCTTTTAGTCACCGGTACAATGCACATAAAACATTTGTATAGACCAATTATGTACTCGGGAAAAGAAATTCAACTTAGGAATTATGAACACTTAGCTTTCCTCTACTATTAGAATGACTAGAGTACTTAAAGGGAAAAAAAATGAACCCACCCAACTCCTAAAATTTCACACCTTATGTATCAGGAAGCATGTGAGCACATAAATTTACTAAAAGGGCTAACGTTAGGTTTCGAGTTACGGTTGACTAACCTGGTTTGGTGACGGATGTCACACTAAGCCCCTTAAGCCATAAACAAACGCCACCTAAAAAAAATGGTGCATGGAAAATCCCAAGGTTGACCTTGACAAATTAATGGAGGCAAGTTTTCTAACACTGATTGTTATCTATTTTTCTTTCTGACTGTTACTCTTTTTGAATGGATGAAGCTTTTAGTTAAAAAAATGCTAGAAGGTCAATTCATATCGTAGGTAAACTAATCAAAAGTCTCAGATGACATAACTCAAATGTAATAGCTCATATACACATTCTTTACTAGAAATGACATAACTCAAAAACATGTTCTTGATTGCATAACACCTATATTAGCTTGCCAGCATATTGGCTTGAAAGAGAAAACTTATTTACCTATTGCCAAAGGCGGAACCAGGAATTTTTTTCTAGGGTGGTCCTGTTATATAAAACAAGTATCCCAACAACTTGCAAGCACTGTCAATTGTCAAATATCCCAGCAATTTCGCTACAAGTCTACACTATCAAGACTAGCACTTCGGTTCCCAAATCCAAACTAAATGTGTAGATTGCAAAGTTCAACATAACAGAATCATTAAACAAAGTTCCCAAACAAATCAACAGAAAAATGTCAAAGTTGTAGTTCGCAAATCCAAACTAAATTTATAAATTGTAACCACTGGTATGTAATGTGTTACCCTTTCATTCAAGATAAGAGAACTCAAAAGCATTCTAGGTAACAGAAACATTAATTAAGCATATAAGCATATTCCAAATTTCCAATACAAACATGTCAATTAGTCAAGTCTAAGCCTCTAAAGAGCGAATACTATTTACTAAACCTAATAAACCCTAGAAATTTCAACTTACAGAGAAGGGGAAATGTGAGACCGTGAGAGGCTGAGAAGCAAAAGGCTGCCGGATGCCGAAAGCTTGAAGTCGTGACTTCGTGAGTGCCCAATTCGGCAACTGGAATCGTGACAGGGGTGAGAAAACAACGGAGGCAATGGCGGTGAAGAATTAGACGGTGGGAGATTTAAAGGACAAGGGCAGAAAGAATTAAATGTTTGCGGTGAGAATTTGGTACGGTGGCAATTTTGTACCAAAACAATCCAAACCGATATGTGTATCAATCATACCAATAAAATTGGTATCAATTGCAATCGATTGATAGCATTGTACCAAGTATGATAACTTGGTTGGTATGTGTTATTGGAAGTTTTGTACCACGGTAGTATCAGGGCCGGCCCTGAGATTTTGGATGCCCAGCGGAAAGTCAAAAAAATGCCCCTTATATGTGTAAATAAAAACCAAAATAAACTATTTGAAGGGTTTTGGAACCTAGTCAATCAAACAAAAAAATGCCCCTTAAATATAACAAAAATGATGCAATGGGGGACATAAACCAAAACCCGTGTAACAAAAATGGTCCTTCGTGGTTCGTGTTGTGAAATTGCCAAGAAAGTGAAACGATTAAGCAACCTGGACAAATTGATAAAAGAGAAAACATAAGCATCAATCTTAGGCCTTTCACAGCTTCCATACTAATACTAGCAGCCCTAAAACAAATTGCCCTATACTAATACTAACCCTCTTCTAAACAGCCCTAAAATTAACAAATGAAACATAAATGACAAACCACAAAGTACCAATTTCACAGCTTCATTATTAGGTTTTGCAATCAAACAATAATTAGAAACTTATAAAATAACCCTAAGTCCCTTACCTCACAAGTGTCAAGGGCTCAAGAGTCAAGGCCGAGAGCGAGAGGCGAGAGCGAGAGGCGAGAGCGATAGTCGCAGTTCGCAGACCGACAGACGGACGGCAAACGGGCAACGGCAGTCGGCGAGCGAGAGACAGTCGATTGTCGAGAGAGGCAGAGAGCGAGAGGCCGAGAGCGAGAGCCGATTAACAGTCAACTGTCAAAGCCGATTGGCGATTGCGATTTCGAGAGCGAGTGAGCGATGCGATGCGATGCGATGCGAGGCGAGAGCGAGAGTCGAGGGAGGAGGGAGTGAGTCGTGAGGCCGTGAGCGAGGGAGGATGATGAACATGTCATTTGACTGTGGACTGGACGCGTGGACGGTAACGGTAACTTTTTTTTAAGCCAAAGAAAAATGAACCAATATACCTAGACATTGGGCTTTAAAAATTTGATGTGCTTGGCCTTATGGTGCCCTAGACCGTCATCCTCTTAGCCTATGATCAGGGACGACCCTGGATAGAATTGTGGTATCGATTTAAATATGTGTAAACTACAAAATAAAAATGTCACTCAAAATTTACACAAAACTACAAGTTTTCATATATGAACTTGACAACTGGTATAATATCAGTATCAACATGTATTAGGATCTATGATTTTTGTTGAGCGGATGCACCTTTAAATTTGATTAAATGCCAGCAAAGCCGCTCGATGTGTTTTTAGCCGAATTCCACCTTCGAGGGATTTGGGTTGCTTTTGTATAAGTTTTCAACTTCATGTATTTGATTCTCGTTATTTTTGCTTCTGCTTTCTAGGTTTCTAATTTCATTTTCTTATGTATCTAGGATTTTAGTACTAAATAGGATGTTTTGGAAATTAAATTAGCTAACCAAATTTAAAGAACCCTATATTGATTAAACAAATTAACATCGATAAAAACAACAATTAAGGTTAGGGAAACTAAAAGTAAGCTAAGAAAAGTAACATCAATTTAACAGATACAAAAGCAAATTTAGCCCAAAAATATAGGTCAAGAATCAAAACTCAAACGTAAAAACTCAAAACAAACAAATAAATCATGTAAGCATAATGGTATAACATTATAACTAATCAATTTAGGACAAATTACTAGGTCAAAATTCTAAAATTTTGAGTCGGGTTTTGAGACAAAACCTGAATGAGAGATTTAGAAATTGATCGAGTGAGTGCGAGAGAGAGATGAGATTCGAGAGAGCTGGCCGGAGCGAGGGAGCCTGAGAGTGAGAGAACGGGGAGGCGGGCAGAAGCTTCAAGCTTCTGAGAGCTCTCTGTCTTTTATTTTTTTTTAAATAAAAAATTACAGTTTTGGTCCTCCACCTTTGCATTTTTGTTTCAGATTATTCCTAATTTCGTTTTTCGTTTTTGTTAATCCAATTAAACTTTTTACAACCTCTAATCGTCGAATAAAAACACCACAAACTTGAAGCAAGGACGTTCTAATTTTTTAGAGACCATGTTATATTCAAAAAATTTGATTACATTGTATAAATGAGATAACATAGAATATATGTTAAGAACAAAAATAGACTAAACCTAAAACAATTCACAATCTGAAACTAAACGTAAACCATCAATGATTTGAACCTAAAACCAAACAATTAATGGTTTCAACATAAATAATTCCGGCTATACTTTTACACAGGTCGATAAAAAGACCCTGAACACATGTAAATTTGGGCTCCAAAATTTCAGGGGTCCTATTCAAAATCTCACGCATAACATGTTAAGAGACGGCCATGACTTGAAGTAACGGTTATTATTACAGGCTTATAGTACACTTGTAATTTATACTCGTAAACCCACAAAGGACCGGGAGGTTACAATTCATGTGTCAATTTCCGGGACAATATACCATCGTATATTGCAATTTCTAACTTGTTTGTAATAAAAAAAAAAACCAAGATTCTAAATGGCATGATGCATGGCGTGGCGGCAAGGTCAGGTCTCAAATCTTACGAGTTATGGCGAGACCATAGCGTTCTTCAATGCGTGTCTTAAGGTGGCAAATCTCTCTTTATATGTGTGTGTATGTATATGTGTTTGTACTTATATCAGTGTCTTGAACAATAATTATTAAATTATTAACAATTTAAATTCATATAAAAAAATAAACAAAATAAGAACAATGAATTGACAATTTGATATTAAAAATTACAAAGTTTACAAAAATGATATTAAATATACAAAGTATGTCACTCTTTACAGCCCATGTCGGGTAATCAAACAACAAAATCAAAGTAATGAAAATAAAGAACAACAAATGAAAGTAATACAACAATATTTTTCCTCTCACGCCTTATAACGTCATAACACACCATGACCCACGCCTTATATCCACGTCACGGAGTTAACGTGACGGCAAGACTGCGTCTCAACACGAAGGCGCAACTTTTATAACATTCCAAACAAAATCGTAAAGATATATGAACCTGACCCCGTAACACCTTGAAAAATCATGCTATGATTTCATTTATAACATGCCAAAGTAACAAATTAAAAAAATGCCCTAGATCAAATTAATGCCTATAATTCTACGATACAAATATTTCAAAGGTGCATTTAAAGTAAAAAACGAATAATCAAACTACTGTTATCCAACTAGTTACGATTTTATCGTGAAAACCTAGAAGTAGTCGGTTCATATCCCGTATTTGGAGCAGCTAACGAACGATTGACAAATTTTCACTTTGAGTATGATTTTCCGAGTCTTAATTTCTATGAAAAACCGAAAAACGTTATTCTAAATTAACCCGTGATTTCCATGTGGTTGTGTACTACTTTGAGGATACTCGTAAACATCTGCAAATGGATTTGAAGTTCCCATTGGATACCCGTTATTGTAAGGTACCATCATGTTCTGTTGATGATACAACTGCTGATATTGATTTTGATATGGTGGTTGTTGGTTCATCGTCATTTGTTGTTGTTGTTGCATCATCGCCATTTGCACATTCATCATGGGTGAGACTCCGTTTGACATCGCGAACGGATCTTGGAGTTGGTGTGGCGGTGGCGGTAGTGGTCCCTGGTTGAAAGGATTATATCGTGAATCGTATCTATAACCTACATTGTATCCAGCATTTTGCAATTGGATTTGCCTTCTAGCCGCGTCATCTTCATATAAACTGTTCAATAAGAATTTGTCGAATCCACCACACTAAAAAAATCGGGAACTTCAATTAGCGAACGTTTACTGTTGTCCCAAAGTTGCAAAAAATGACATGAAAACTAACCGTTTGAGCTTGTGAAGTGTTGTTACTAGTGTTGATGTTATTTTCGACGAGCGCAAGCTCCCATCCTGGCGTGTTTTTGATTTCGTCCCAATCTATAGACGACGATTGAGGATGACTACCTGCAAAAAAGTGGCTTTATATTTATTCTTTATTTCTTTTATGTAAAGTAGATGAACGGTTATAAGTAAAACGACTGCATACCGTTCTCAACAATGGCAAGGGCCATTGCATTTCTTTCGTCTAATTCTGCAGCTTTCTGGTTTATTTCACGCAATCCCTGCACGTAAAACGGACAAAATTTACTCTTGCGTGTTAATAACGAGAGTTGATTGTAGTAACGAATCTGAGTAATTTTGATGATGAAGTTGATATTTTTGTAATATAATACAAAATATAAGAACTAAATAAGCTCCACATCTTTCAAAGTTGTTTTTAATAAGAAACATGGCTCGGTCTTTTTTTTTTTTCAGCCCATGTCGGGCTTTTTGTGTGAAAATGGGCCTGATGAGAGTTTTTCAGCCCAGATCTTTCAAACAAAAGCTTGACGTGATCAGGTTTTAGGCCTAGCTTGAGCCTGGGTTTCACGCTCGCTAGGACTTTTCATGTTGGGCTTTGGGCTTTTTGTGAATCTCAAGGTGTGGAGCTTTGGTAAGATACGAGCGGGATTAAATAGAGATGGTCAAAATGGGCCTGGTCCGGCGTAGAACAGGGACCGGAACCAATTGGGACTGAGATCGATTGGGACCGGCCCGGCGGTTCGTAACCAATTATCGTTTTTACAGAAAATTCAAGGATTGGGATCGGTTACGAAAAGGAAATCAAGGACTAACACCGATTTGGGCCAGACCCTGCCCGAGACCGGTTTTTGGTCATCTCTAGGCTCAAAGACCAGTCCTCGTGTAAAAATGGAACTTACCAAAATATCGTGATCATTGGTGGCGACTACGACTGGTGGAACATGTTCGTCTTTCACAATCTCAAGTTCGGGCTTAGCTTGCACTGCCTCTTTGTCTTCAACTTGTTCGTTGTTATTCTCGCTTTCATGAGAGTTATCGTCTCCGGCTTGTTGATCATCCTCTCCAATATCCTCGTACTCCTGATTTCGTTTTAAACAAACAATTCCAAACGATAAAGTCCTTTTTCACGCGACTCGTGTTTTAAAAAAGGAAGCGTGCGTACCAATCTCTTCATCAAAACCGAAGCTACCGCAGGAGCTTCTCTAATATACTCCTCCATTGTCGTAAGAAACGAAGGTGGCGGCTACAGAAACATCGGGAAACCATTTCGCATGGCATTAAACAAAGATACTACATGCCTATGTTTAGATGTTGTAATAGACTGCTTTATAATACTTAAGTTTATAAGACCAAACTATTGTACGTCTCATGTAAAAAGTGTTACAATAAGTTTATATGATATGTTTGTCCGTCTTATTAAATTTTTAGGACGTTTTCTGAATAAAGTGTCGTATTAATGCTTTTTAGGACACTTTGGAGAAGTTCCTATAAACACTTATTTTTACAGGACACTGATTTTTATAAGACATTTTTTCAAATAATGTTATATAAAAAATTAATAGTACGCCTTATTTCAGACATGTCCTAAAAAACTTGTCAAAGACACCCAAATGAGTTCTATAAACTTATTGTAACACTTTTAAATAAGACTCCTAGTTGTTTGGTTTTATAAATATCGGTACTATAACCCGGTCGATCAAGACCCTTAGAATTTTTTTTGGCGTCTTGTAATTCAAGTTGAAACTCTATGTTTCATTAACTGACGATCGGTTATGTACCTGTTTCAACGTTGGAAATTGGAAGCTCCTTGCAAGATCCAAGTGTCGGCAAAAGTCGTAGAACTCAGCAAGATACTCGGCCTAATGGAAATGAAAATATCGTGAACGGATCACACGAATTTGTACAAATGTCGATAATAAGAAAAGAAAAGGACGACATGATGATTGACACCTGTTTCCCCGCTTTTTTGTAGATATTCAAAGCTTTTACAGCGTCGGGTTTAGGCATGTCAAAGAACTAGAACAAACCGAGATCTCGTTAGCGATCAGATTGACAAAAAAAGACACAAATTCAGTCGAATACGGTCAAGAAATATCCGGAAAAACGATACCAAATCCACAAGATTTATGATCCCATCATTGATGGCACAATAGATCTTGAAGCTTTCTTTGAGAACTAGAGCCAAAGCATATTGCACAAGATAGTTATAGTAAGCTGCTCCTTCCGGCTAAAAAAAAAACCCGATTCATTTAGTACATTTCCGTTCACAAAAGCCGTGAAAGCAAAATCTAAAAAACCTGAAACAAGTTTGAGAACTATTGTTTAAGGAACGTTTACCTGACATCCAATGAGACGATGCAGAAGTTGTTGCATCGTAGGTAGTTGCTCTAGTAGCTCCTCGCCACTCATGAGCCGTGTTCGACTATATGCCTTCACAAAATCGTAGTCAATTACGATTAGATCGGTGTTTTCGTTACAAAAGATGCAATCTGGCAATAACAATTGTGACGGCCTAATGCATCGCTAACTTGTCTTTATGACCATTTATTAGATTTACTGATATTTTTGAAGTATATAATATTTAGAGTTAATTACGGATTTATTTTTTTGTGCTTTGGTGGTTTTTACGAAAATGGTCCATAAACTTCATTTTGTTATATATTAGGACTCGACGTATGTCATTTTTGCCCGAATTGGTCATTCACTCTAACGGGCATCCAGTTAATCCGTTACCCTTGAGGGCATTTTTGTTCCTTTTTTTCTGTACTCAAGTGACCAGTTTCTTAAAAACCCCACAAATCACAGGAAGCAAATATGTAATTAAGTCTAAAAAATAAGAAAATATTAATTAATAAAATTTATTAAATTAATTAATTATAATAATTTAATATATATCTATACTATTTTATAAAACATTTGGTTAAAACTCTTAAACTCGTTCATCCCTAAACGATTTCATCCCTATCCGATTTCATCCCAWATATGAATTCGTGTAACTAACTGCAGATAAACACAATCAAATACATGATAAACATCTCATTTTAGATATAAAAAATCTAAAATATAATTAGTATAATCATTAAATTATAACAGAATACTTAATTATTATCTTTATAAAATTTATAATATTAAACCAAAAATAAATTGTTTTATTATTA